ACATTTTGGATCTAAAAGTGAACTGTAGAGCTCAGATTCAAAAGATCTGTTTGTATCTTCACTGGGTTCATTTCTCTTTGGCTACTTTTTAAAACTATAAGAAAGGACTCCAGTGAGTAACATAAGCAAACAAGCCTCAAGACAGACTAATTATATCACTCTTGCCCTTTGCTTACAGCAGTTTTAACTCATCTCGAAATTCCAGTCATCTGTTTCTAATTCAAGTACATTTCAATTTCCTCACTTAATATGAGGAGTAGCAGCACTAGTGCTCACCAGAGACCCTCACCAAGGGCAAGTGTCAGGAAAAACCCTGGTGCTCTGCAAAGAAAGTTGGCCTGGCAGTTCTCAGCCTGGGCTTTCAGAAACACCACTGGGATCCACCAGCTTAGTAAGTATAGGGCAAGTAGCCCATATAGGGGCAGTTGCTAGTGAATACAATTTTAGTATTTCAAGTGAGTGTTCAGAACATGAGAAGAAAGATTTACCAGATTTCCCCTCTTTTATGTGTTAGTACTTGCTAGAGAAATAATTCCAGTTGATAGACAGATGTCTTCTCCATCAGCTGTTGTACTGCTTTGATGAATCTTTACTAGTAGAATATTACATTGAGTCCTGTAAGATGTTATACTTAAATATCTATGTATGAAATCCATCCAGGGAGATAAGCACCAACATAGGAGATTATGGGACTGATAGGGGAGGATAAATTGGTAGCACAACTGTGTGGCTACCAATCTATATTATTGCTCAATAGCTTATATTCCAAAAGTCTCCTTTTTTTTTTTTTTTTTTTCAGGATGATAACAGAAAATGCAATGACCTCCAAAGGGCTTGTGTGAGTTATTTTTTCCTTAGTGGGGGAAAAAAAATAAATGTCTGTATTTATATTGCTTATTTGCAAGATGAAGCTGTTCCTAACAGTATTTCCCATTTCAAGGGTGTGTTACTTATGATAGGCTTTTGCATTTTCTTCAATAATTAGTTCCCAAATAGAAAATATGATGCAGATAAGGAAAAACTAATGTTTCTCAGACTTACTCTACTGACTATAGAGTTGAGAAAAGGATGTCTCACATGTGAGCCTGGGATGGGCTTTCCTGGTAGGATATGTGGCTGCAAGAACAAAAAGTACAATGTCCTCATCACAGTGGGAAACTTTGAACAATATGGAGAGAAGGAAAACTGCTAATCTATTCCAAATAATATTCTTTATTGTAGCAACTATGTTATTACTTATTATTTTGCATTCACATGTAAATTAAGAAGAAATTATTAACTGGATGGGGACTTTTCTGATTTGGGGTCCCCCTAACATTTTTTCAACGAAACTTTTAGTCAAAAGAGTTAATAATAGAAACAACATCTGCAGCAAAAAGGGCAGAAAGGCAGATATTTTGCATACTTTGACAGTTCTGTGATTTCCAGATAACCTGTGTGAACTAGGCATAAATTTGTCAATGAAAATTTCAACTAAAAAAGGAGCCAAATTTTACTAAAACATGGCTGCAGATTTCTAACAAGAAAACTTCAACAAAATGAGCCAAGTCCAGCATCCACAGTTATTAATATCACATATCTTATCTAGACAGTTTCTCAATCAACTGCAAACAGCTAAATCTAGAGCATTATTCTTAACCATACTTCTCACAGAGGTACTAAAATCCTAAATTGAAATCCTACCAATTTTTTTGGTAGATTAGCACAACCTCTACAGCACATACCTAAAATCAACTTCACACAAAATTAGAACCATGTGCAAAACCTGCCAAGCCCTGAATGAAGAGGGATACTCTCAGCTTCTCTGAGTAGTAGCAGATGTGAAGCCCTGGCAGTACAGCCTCCAGTGAAAAGATTAAAAGGGGTCTTAACTCACATTTGCTGGCAGATTGAGGTGAGTGGGGCTACAGAAACACCTCCAGTTGACTGCTACCTCCCATCTGCCCCCCTCCACAACTTCCCCGCTGGCAGCAGGCACAGCTGAGTAAGACACACACAGACTAAATCACTCCGTGCTTCTGGCATAGTTATGTGGAAAGAAATTGGTGGTACACCATTGGAGTGGCTTATTGGACACTCTGAATGCAGTTACCAGCGTTCAAGCAATCTCTTCATTCAGAAAGGGTTGAAAAGTCCCTATGGCTGTCCTGAGTTCCCGCTACAGAAAACCTCTACAGAGCAAGGCACACCTTTTCCAAGGGCTGGACAATGCCCATATGCTTGGATTTGTAAGAGTACAGGTAATATTGCCATCTAGTGACTCCTGTCATGGCAATATTGGCAAGATTTTTATTGGGCTATACAAGTACCCTCAGCAACTATACAGTTCTCACCAATCTGAATGTCCACAGCATGGAAGTTTGCAACCTCTTTCATATCATAGCCTGTTATGACAATCAAATATTTTGGGTCTGTCTTTGACTCTAGCTTCTAGAAAAGCAGTTACAGCCCTTCTTCAGCCTGTTCATGACCAAGCTGATGACCCTCAGAAGCTTACAGCTCAACAGATTTATTCCATAACTTCCGTGATTTTCCTCACACCAGGCTCTTATCTTGCATCACCAACTTGGGCTTCAACAAAAAAATGAATGATGGAATTTTTGTTAAATTCAATTTGCAAGGTGCAAATAAATTGAAATAATATTCTCGTAGCATGCAAGCAAAAATATTCTGCAGCTGTGCTACATCTCCTGCACATTAGCCAAACTTTGATAGAGACATGCCAAAACCATTCTTCTCAGAATGACAGAAAAAGCTCTGTCTGTCATCTAACTCACTGCAGATACAGCAAGTCAGGACTGTTACCATCTTAATGCAATTGTGATGGAACTGTGATCCAGTCTGAAGCATTTAGCAATCAGCAACTTTTCTATACACTATAATGGACACTCTGCCTCCAGGGAGTTTGCTGCAGATCTGAGGGAGATGTCATCTCAAGACATTTGGGTTGTTTAGTGTGGTTTTTCTCCATTCATTCTTTTTTAACTGGAAGAATGGTAGCAGTTTCCCTTCAACAGACCCATACTGGAGGCTTCAGGGTGGGGGAAAGGGGGTGGAGGAGGGGAGAGGACAATATCAGGAAATAATTTAGTAGGCAATCATGACCACCAGATTCAGGAACAGGTAAAGTGCTACAAATAGAAGCATGAAGGGCAGCTGTGAAAGAGGTGGTTGGGCTTGATTACAGAGAAGTGAAGGGAGAACAGAAACAGAAATGAACAAAGTTTGAGAGAGCTTTAACAAAGAAAAACTAGTAATACAGGGAAGGCATTAAAGAGAAAGAATGCGCACTCTTGGACAACAAGAGGAAAAATGCAGCCTTGAGTAGCCAGGAGACAAACAAGGCAGTAGTCCAATTTAAAACAGGGTCAGACCAGATAAACACCTTTGACACTTATGGAATTTGCTAATGTTCCACTACGATGATGCTGCTTCATTCTGTATCCCTCACACTGACAGTCAGCACTCACTGGTCTGTTTCATGGATTAGACAATAGTGCAGGCACTGCAGACACAGCTTGTGCTAGGTATGACTTTAACATAAAACAGTTTGGAACAGCCGCCCCAGTGCTCTGCTTTCATACCATTCTTGCACTTGAATTACTTTAGAAACAGCAGCTGCGTAACTCAGAAAATTGAGAAACCCTGACAATGCCTCCATTGCAGTTGGACTAGTTAAAACAACTCAGTGCCTTGGGAAGTTGGTCTGGCCCTTTGTGTCACCCCATGTTGCCACTGGCCATAAGCTCCATTAGCTTTTCTCATGCATTCCAAGATTTACTCTGTTATGCTCTGTGAAGTTTGTTCCACAGTGTGTGAGTACGCCAGTGCTCTCGCTCATATGCACACAAGCCTGAAAGGTCAGAACTCACAGATGTTTTGTAAAAAACATAGAACCCATGACTTGCATGAGATCTGTGTCTTATTCAGAGAGAAGGATATATATCCTGCATATGGAAAGCATCACATTTAATTCATTTAAAACATGAATCACATTTCTCATTCTTGCACAGCTCATCCCAGCTATATAATGGCTGCTATCACACTGTTAACCTCCAGCTTTAAAAAAATAAATAAATAAAGAGCTTATCACTACGAAGTACAATTCCCCATAGATGAAACTTTGAAGGCATGACCAATGAAGAATATACCATTTCAGAACAGAAAAAGACTGAACAATGAAGAACACTCATCCAACACTTGTATCATACATGTATAGCAGCGTGCCTAGATCTCATTTATGGGCTGCCACCCATATTGATTTTAATATAGTGCCGATTAAAACAAAGAATTGTTGCCTCAGAAGATTACAGCTTAATTCTCCTACCAATCCTTAGGTCAACTCAGCCATAGCAAGTAACAATGACACATTCTGAAAGCAGAAATGGACTTCTTAAAAGATATGAGAACATTTTAAAATTCACTGAATCCAGCCTCAGGGAGAGTTAAGAATGCCTAATGAATGCTCTAACTTATCTGGAAGTTTTGTAGTAATTTTTCATTCTCTACCTTTTCCAGCTATACCTTAGGAGCACAGAGTCATCACATCCTGTTGCATCTTAGGTCTACTGTCAGTGCAAAGAGAAGGCCTACATATATGATTATGCCATCTTTTGCAGTGGTGTTTTTTTGGGTTTTTGTTTTTGGTTTTTTTGGTGGTTTTTTTTTTGTTTGGTTTTGTTTTGTTTTGTTTTGTTTTTTGTTTTGGTTTTTTTTTTTTTTTTTTTGTGAAGGACTAGTAGCACAAAAGGTCTGTCACAAGCAAAGATTTAGGCTTACTTGTAAGCCAAAATTTTCTTAATTGGAATTCGAATTTTAGAGCTTGTTTCAACAATGAAGCTTGAAGCCCTATAAGAAATGGTGTCGTTTTCGCTCCTTTTTTTGTTGAACATACAGAACATAGTCTGTACTAAGAAATATACCAATTCCTTACATGGAATTAGTAATCACATTTGTTGCCCACAAAATCCACCTATTCTGAGGAAGCCTGATATGCTCACCTTTTGCAAGAGTGGTTTCCTGTCCATGGATTGCCCACACCGACTTCTAAATAGGCAACACAGAAACACCAGTCCAGGACAACAACAGTTTTTTTGCAGAAACAATACGCAGCACAACAGCTCTTAGTAACCTTTTGGTTTGGGTTGTCTTCTCCCTCCTTGGTGAGGATTTAGATGGAGTAGCACAAGCTGTATGGAGACATGTGGAAACAGCCCTGAAAGAGAAAAGCAAACTGGAAAAAGATGAAGATAAAATCTTGGGGACAAGCCACAGCTGATAGAAAGGAAGGGGAAAATGAAATAAAGCAGCTCAAATAGATCAAATAAGATTAAGTCAGGTCCACACAAAAGCCTGCAGCAGTTTGTTTGCTGCAGGACACTCCTTTAAAACAACAATACATTTGTTTGGGCTTGCCCCACAGGGCCTGGCAAAGTGTTCTTATTGGCATGCAATGTCACCTCCTGAGCCACTGAGGGTGTGACCCAGACTGCTAGCCCACCTAAGTACTGTGGCCTCACTGGGCAGATCATAGGGAGTAGTTAGTTTGCAGCTGCAGTTTCTTCCTCCTGCTAACACAGAGCATACACAGATGGTACAGGAGCCCATAGGCACAGCAAAATGCTATGAACCTGAGCTGTAGCAAATATTGCAGCAGAAAAGCAGAGGAAATGTGGGGTTGGAAGCTGACTTTGTCCATCCAATACCAGCCAAAAGCGCACAGGGTGACACACAACATCTCCAGCATGAGTGAGGCTTACCCCTCCAGCTGCCCTCCCCGTGCAACAGGCCTGTGTTATCCTTGCAGACACACTGGGACTTGATTTCATGGCGAAAAGAAGTGGGGCCTGAGCACAGGGCTCCACTGAAGTGAAGTGCACAGGAGAGGTGAGAAGTCATTGAGGTACGCTCAAACAGAGGACAGTGGAGGACAAGGAAGAAAGATGACATGGCAGACTTAAAGACAGCCACTGAGAGATGGTCAGAGACAGATGCAGCAAGACTTCAAATGCCATTTCTGTCTGAAGGCTAAGAAGAGCTGGCATTTCCTTTAATATGAGAGAGAGGGGCACAGCCATATCTGAAAGAAATCAGGCTACATAATTTGTTCTCCATATATAATTAACCTAAGTTTAGTTAAACACCAGGTATATTGCAAGAGGGATCTCTAAGACTGCTAGAGAAACTCTAGAATTTCCCTCTTGAGTATAAGGGAACTCTGATGAGGTATTTGGGTTTCTGAGTAGATGTAGCAGACATGCAAACTAGCAGTCACACATCAGAATGACTAGGTAAGAAACTTCAGCTTTGAAATATACTGGTAAAGACTAAAATCAATTAAGATACAGAAGTAAGTAATATTTTACTGGAAATAGATAAAATAAATGGTCCTAACACTGTAGAAAAATAGCAAGTGTTCAATTAGAACAAATCCAAGTTTAAAATGCAATCTTGTAAACACATGTGCAGAATTTATGCAAGGGGGAAGGGCTTTTACAATGGTGCTAGGAACAACACATCACACTAAAGAGCAGGAAAAAAACCCCATGTACTGGGTAGTAGGAAAAGTTCCTTTTTTCTTAGATCTGTGACTCTACAGGATAGTCTAAAATAAGCACGCTGAAACACTGCTAAACAAGTGAGGCAAAACCCTCTAAAAATTCATGCTGAAGTGATGACATTTCTAAGCTTTCCACTTGTGAATGTGAGTGCAAAAGGAAGGATTTTCACTGAAGCAAGAAAAAGCTGGCTTTTTCCCCCACCCCTTCTGCTCAGTGACCAAGATCAGAGGTCAGGAAATACAGATGTCCATGCATGTGTCTTGCAGGGACCCACATACCAGACCCATCACCCCAATCAACACACTTACTGCTTAAGCCTTTTTTTTTTTTTTTTTTTCCCCTCTTTGCAGTTCCTGTAAGTTTGATAAGTCTTGTTTGGGGTTTGTTGAGGTTTGGGGTTTGTTTTGAAAGAAAAGCTCAAGTAAGCTGTGCATGTTTTGTAGTCGATACATCCATAAACCAAACACACCAAATGCTAGAACAGTTTGCTAAGAGTCATTCAGGCGAGCCCTAATTAAAAAGAAAAGAAACCCTTGCAAACAGCATGTCTTCAAGAGGTGAAAGGTCCTCATGCTTCTTGGTGAGGAAACACCAGGGCCACCTTTAAATTTCAGAGTTTTATTAGTGCCTTTGTCAGCAGCATGTATCTGTGTGTTGTGTTTTAATCGAGGCTCTGAATTTGTCTGTGACAGACTCAAAACAGGAAATTAACACCCTGCGGTGTGGCGGCAAAGCCTCAGAGGAAGCAGCAGTGGGGTACATGAGGCCGAGGATGAACAAAGACCCATAAACATAACGTCACCCATAAAAGTCACACTTGAAGGCACAGGAAGGATACTAAACAACACTTGGCTGCATTACACACTTGCAGTGAAAAGAAAGCCTCGGGTTGAGAGGCATAACATTTGCAAGGCGCTTATTTTTCGAAATATTTGCTGCGGCTTTTATTTTGAGCAAGGCAGTTCAAAGTTAGGCGTAGGAAATACCCAAGGAGCTCACAAATGTTACGTTTCCACTCGACGCGTGGCTCAGGGCTAAGATAGTGCTTTTTATCTATCTCCCTGTTTATTAGGGTTGTTTCCTCTTCGTAAGGGGTTCAACTTTTCTGCAGGCAGCTGGATGGATTTCCACTGTTACCATGGCATTGCTGACCTTTAACATGGGGCTGTTAACATGACCTTTGCTTCTTTCCATTCCTACAAGGATGTTTCAGTGTAAATAATGTGGAAGCCAAACAGCACCGGGAGATTCCTCCTCTGGGAGTTGGGAATGCAGCTAGCTCAGCTAGGAGAGGAACAGGGCAAGAGCTGCAAGCTGATAGCTGACAGCTAATAGCAACATAAAACTGTCTCAAACAGAACTCTTCTGCCCCTGAGAGATGCCTGGCAACTACTTTTACAATGCTTAACAGTACCTGTGAACTGCCCTGTCTTGAAAGCAGAAGATAGGACAGACCATACACAATTGCAGGGGCCCAAAGGCAGACTCTGCAGGGCAGAACCATCGTGTTGAGTGGGGTAACAGAGCCTTAGGATGAAGAAATATTGGCAATAATGCTTAAGATGGCTATTGTAACTCCGAGCATTTTTAAAGCCTGAAAGGCTGTCAAAAACAGAGGGGAAGTTAGCTTTTTAAGAAAAACATACATTTTACAGAATTGCAATTAAAACAACACCAGAAACCACCTAATTCACTATTAAAAAAAAAAAAAAAAAAAAAAAAGGAAAACCCTCTGTTGTAGCCTTTATCTAATATATTCTTTGCCTCAAGCAACTCTTAACATAGTTATATAAATTCTATTAACTTAAATGAAAGGAAAATCCAAAGTTTCATGGGGCAGTAGAAATTGCTGCTGCAAATTAGACCAGTCTGCAGCCTACTGTACTGAGGGGAACTTTAAAAGATTTCTGCCAGACTCCTCAGGCATGAAGTGATATTTTGAACATTGTAACAGTGGCTAGAAGCTTCAGGAAAAGGTGCACATTATTGGGAAAAAGTTTTGTTCACAGTGGGAGTTTCCTCTAATCCTGCACAGATTTAGAATTAATTTTTCAGGAGAGACCAAATAATACCCTAAATTCCACTAAAATTCGATAGGATTTATGTGCCTAGCCTCCTAAGTCCTAAGCTTTTATGGTGGGCTTATGCAGTAGAGCATGAGAGGGAGATATTTCATATATAACTCCAGAAGTTCAGATTGTAGTCAAGTAATTCAAACCACCTGTGGATCACTGCAGTCAAAAATTTGTAGAGGGAAGGGTTTTTCCCCCCTTTTTGATTTTTTTTCCGGTACCTTTAGGATCAGAGCAGACTCCAAAAAGCACAACTACTGAGTGAGTGTCAGAGCAGCCCCAGAGCTGTCCTGGTGCTCGGGCTGGGGGCTGGTCCACAGCTGCAGCACTGTGCTCATGCAGAAAGCCAGCTATGCAGAGACAGCAGCAGCTGCAGAGCTCCCTGTGCCTGGGGAATCCCCAGCCAGGAAATGCAGTCAACTTCGAATTTTTTGAGCTGTTGGAGCAACACATGGGTGCTAGTTCAGCTTTGGGTATGGTGTCCCAGAATTTCCACCCAATACTAACATAAAATGTGCTACAGAGTTCGAATAATTTCACTGACTGTGTACAGATTGTCTAGAAGTGACTTAAGATTATTTTTTTTTTAAAGATAAAATCAAATTACTAATATAAATCAGTAGCATTTTAAGGGGGTATTTCTTGTGGATTCCTAACGACTTTTTTTTTTTTTTTAAACACACAGGACTAAAAACTATAGATATGTTCACTTGAAATGTCATCTGAACTCTGGCAGCTTGAACACATGGTTTCTCACATACTGGTTTCAGACAAAACTATGCTCTTTCGGATACTGATGCAAAAATCTGTGAGAGAAAAGTACCAAAATAAATGTAAAAGTCTTCCACTAGCAAACAGGAAGCTAGAGCAGCACCAAGAAGTTATGCTGTTCACTGAGGATCTGTTCAAATCAGATGTTGAAGAGATTCAACCCAAATGAGGGTGCTGTGAAGGCAAGTTTAAATACATGTCACAGATTCAAGTGGAACCTAAAATTAGTACAGAGTGTTTTGTCTCTTCTCTCTATATTGCTGTCCTATGTAATGAGATCATCTTCTTGTTAGAGCCAAATGTGCTCTCTCACTGCTGTTGCTATGAGAGGCTGACAGAAGCTGCCAAGACCTCTCGTGAGGCATTTTAAATGAAAATCTATATAAATTTTTAACTGTCTTTTTCATCACCATACAATGGTGTTAAGAGTTAAGAGTCTGATATGGCAATTATTTACCTTGCAAAACCAGTTAAGCTATGCCTGATTTCACAGCACATAGCTGATAAGTGGGTACATATAATGTTAGAAATATTTTGTTGAGAAAACCTGAGATGGGAGTTGGTTGCTATGGGCTTTTGAGGCACTTATATAAAAATTAAAATTGGAATAGACTCAAAGGCCTCATTTGTCTCTCATTTTTACAAGTGACAATCCAAATGAGGCCCCAAATGCCAAATTAGCAGTCCTAGAGTAAAATCTAGTGTGAC